AAGTAGTTTTGCATAAGAGAGCATACACATATTCTTTTAACAATAGTTTTGTTCATCCTCTATGTCACTCTATTTGATTATGGAGTCTCCGAAACTATCTTCTCAAACCGAATGTCATGCTCCCTAAAATATTTTCCAAATGAACCCTTGTACTTATCTTTATTGTCTATCGAGACGTATTTTTATTTTCTCGGTAGTTTTTCTTTCAACTCTAATATGAAAATCCTTAAAGACAACAAGCATCCGATATGTGAATTTCAAATAATTGGCCTAATTTTTTCTAAAACAATCATTTAAAAAACTAAGAAAGTATAAAAAAACCTCCAAGAAACTTGTCACTTATTGAGCAAACATCAATATAAGCTAACTCAAGGATATTAGATCTTTTATGTGAATGTGATCTACGAAATGTTACTATGTGTTGTTTACTAGCTAAAAAGTGAGTGCAAATGATCAAGTTCATTCCTTTCAAAAGAAGAAAGTTCTTCTTGGCAAGAATACTAAGGTCTTTCTCACTCAAGTGTCCAAGCTTCTTTTGTCATAAATTGGTGGAGGCATCTTCAATTGCATTCACCTTCTCTTTAATTAGTTTGGCTTGTAACATATAAAAACACATTTTTTTATCTTTAGCTATAATCAAATAACCTTTAGAGAGCTTTCATTTATCCTCTCTAAAGAAATTATGATAGCTTTCTTTATCAAGTGTACCTATAAAGATCAAGTGTAGACATATATCGGGCACATGCCTAACATTCTTAAGTAGTAACTCGCACTTGGTATTGTTTTCTAATTAAATATCTCCAATCTCTATCATACTAGTCATCCTTTGATTTTTCATTCTAACTTGACTAAAGTCTCCACTAGTATAGGGTGTGAGAAAATTACATCAAGATGTAACATGATAAGAAATAGTTGAATTTATAACCCAAGTGGTATCCTAACAAGCAAAATTTACAGAACCATCACTATAAAAAACTAGCAACATCATTATCATAAACAATTACAATCGTATCATTCTCTTTATGTTTGCATTTGGCATTGCACTTTTGATCTCTCTTATACTTTCTACAATACATTTGAATATGTTCAAGTATGTCACAATAATGACACTTTATTACTTTCTTTTACCGAGATCTCTATCTATACTTCGATCTATATTTTCACGTAACTCGGATTCTCTATATTGTTTATCGTAAAAGAAAAAATCTGCTATGACTTCTCCCTTGATTTTCGGTAATAAGTACATAGAACTCTAAAGTGCTTGACCCTTTTCTTCTTTTCTCTTTATTAAAAATATTATACTTTACGGTGAGTTTTCCATTCACCCTATGTTTGGATAATTTCTCTTGGGAGGAAAGAAAAGAGAGGAAAGAAAGTGAGAGAAAAGAAAAAAGGGAGGAAAGAAAATCATTTTTCACTTGTTGTTTGGATAAAAGTGGAAAGGAAAGGAAAGAAAATACATTTCCTTTGTTTGGAAGAGGAAGAAAAGAAAATGTATGATTGTATATTTACTATAATACCCTTGTGATTATATTTTTATATTTAAATACTTATAATAAATTTGTATGAATATTTTTTTCATGAAAATAACACAAATGATAATAAAATAAAAATCTAGCATGTAGCATATATCCGAAATGATAAGAAAGATAATGAATCGTCTCCATAGAATGGTAAGAAAAATATTTTTAATTCAATCTTTAAAATTAATAAAAAATTCAATGTCATTCAACATTAATTTAATTTAAAAAATAATAAATATATTTTCGATTAATATAAAAATTAACTCAAAATAATTATTTATTTTTAAATGTAAAAAAAATCCAAATTAAAGCAAACATTATAGAAATCGATTGTAGAATCTATAAAGCACTCATGTGCTAAAAAAGGAGGTCCATTTGTCAAAAGAATATCATGGGTCCCCTGCTAAACGGCAAGATCATTCAAGAAAAAGAATCAAAATGTTAGCCCATAAAAAATATTTGACATTATTACACAAATTTGTCCAAAAACGTACACGAAACTTTCGAATAAAATCTCACTCTTATTTCACACTCTTTTGATTTTCTTTCCTTCCTTCCTTCTTCTTTCTTTCTTTCAACGTTATGAAAATGAATCCATCTTGAAATTTCAGCTACTTGTCTTCCTCCACCACAACGAGTCACTTACTCTTTTCATAATGATCACACTACCCTCCACCACAACAGTCACTTCCTCCACACACTTACTCTTTTCATAATGATCACACTACCCCTAAACAAACCATTGAAATCCTCATCAAGCATCAAGTCTCCCTTCTCCAAATCTACTATCCAATCAAGCACTCGCCACTTCTAAGAAAAGTCGAGGATGAATGAGGCCTTGATGGGTTTGCTTCTTAAGGCTTGATTCGTACCCAAGGTTGATCCAACGCCGAGAGAAGCAAGAAGGAAAGTCGATCGTAGGATTGTGGGGTTGTAGGAAATATTGGACTCAATATGTGAAGCAAAGGTTGGTGCTTTTGATGGTGGGCACTATTATGGGTGGCAGTGGGATCCGCATGGTGGATCATGGGATATGGTGCTTGGACCATTGCGTACGTGGGTGTGGGGTGAGGGCAAACCAACGAATGAGGCGGATGAGGGCAAAAATGACAATAAAAAAATCTAGTATGTTTTATTGTTATTTTTCTCCCCGTTTCCTCCCAATTTTGGGAGGAAAATGGGTCCCACATCTTTTAGTATTGTTTAATATTTTTTTTCTTTCCTCGGTTTTCTTCGCAAACCAAACGGTAGAAACCTTTTCTTTCCTCCCAATTTTCTTTCCTCTCCCTCACTTTCTACCCTATCCAAACAGAGGGTCGGAGTAGAGTTGCTAAGTTGACATAATTAAAGTCTTCTAACTATCTAGTAATGAACTCAATAAGATTGGTGCTTGTATCTCATTATCTAACTCAAGGTTTATCAATGACAACTAATTCATGAACCCTTAAAAGTCATTTAAGTGCACTCGAAATACTTTTATCATATTTATACTTCAAGTTTACAAGGTCTCTAATCACGAAAGCCTTGTTTTGTGCACTTTCAAACTTTATACGATCATGTTCATAAGAAATATAATTGATGGAATTAGAAAATACTTATTTTCCGACGACCAATATAACTTTTCTATCGACTCACTTTTATTTTGCATCTTCCATATTGGTAGACGTTTTTTCTCCACATACAAGCAAGAAAGCCAAGTCATTATCCTCCATCAACGTTTTTCATAAATAATAATTACGGGAAGAGAGTTTTATAATCCCTAATCTTTCTTCTTCATTTTAATTGCACAAGAAAAAACAATCTACATAATCTAAAGCTCTAATATCACTTTATTAGGATAAAGCACTCGCATATACCTAAATCACAAACCACAAGTTCTAATATTTTTTTCTCTTTATGCAATTAAAATTAAGGTCAACCAATCAACAATAACTAATGAAAAAATAAATAAACATAACCATAATCAACACACAATTTTTTTACATAGAAATCCCAGTATGGGAATAAAATCACGAAACTATAATTCATTCAAACTCTTTCATTACATCAAATAATGGAACACATGATTCTTCTTTAGGAAATACTTAAAGGTCTAAACTTACCAATGATCAACACTATTCAAGTTAAAGAGTTCGTTGCTAGAAATAACATTTCAAATTTTAATTTTGATCATATTTGAAATCACCATATAATCACAATTAGAAGATACAAATCAAAACAACAAAATCCTCATCACAAAGATGAATTTCAACAATAAAAACAAAAAAGAGTTATATCTCTTTAAATAGCTTTTTAAGAAATACCTAAAGGTGGAGCTTCTTTGCAATCAAAACCGTTTCAAGTTGAAAAGCTTGTTGCCGAAACAACACATCAAATTTTCATTTTGATTAGATTTGGAGTCACTATACGACCAAAGCAATGAAAAGCAAGTAGCACCTTTCTCTTTTCTCCGATCAAATCTCCCTTCCATAGTTTTAAATAGAAGAGGCGATTATAAAAACGGTTACGATTACAATCGCAAGTCGCAACTTATCACAACAATAAAATAACGATTACGGTAATCGATGTTTTGAATGTATTAGCACTTATTAATAAATTTATTTTGATTCATATATTTTTAAAAGTATTACTAATTATATATAATAATAACATGTCTAATAGTTTAATATCATAAAATAATAGTTAAATTTATTACAAAAAAGTTAATATACTTCTAATAGTTTAATATCATATAAAAAATAATAAAATATATTATTATTTCAAGATATAAGATTTTATGTGAGTAGTAGCATCTAAAGAGTATTTATTAGATTAAAATTTTTGAAAAAATAAATAAATAAATATAATGCCCCTTATTTATGTGCAACAATAATAGAATTTTTATAACGATGAATAACAATAATAAAGAAGCCTAATTCAATTAAATAACAATTATTACATGACATCATGATTATTATTTAAAACTATGCTCCCTTCTCTTTTTCATTATTGTCGATGGTTGTGTGCCTAATTGTTGTTGTCTTTTTTTGATACTTAATATATATAAAATAAACATTGATTCTTATAAACGAGAAATTTTATATTATACAAGATGTAACTAATAACATATACGGTAGTTACTCTATAAACTCACTTTGAGGAGAAAGATAGATATATATATAAAAAAAAAAAAAAGAGAAACAATAGAGAATTAAAAAAAAATTAAACGAACGTGAAAATTTTCTAATCACTTTTAATATATTCAAATGTAATTTAATATCTCTCTCTCCTCATAGTAAGTCCATAAAATAACTATTGTACATACCACTAATTACTCATTGTGTATTATAAAATTTCTCCTTCTAAACAGATAAGTTTTCTTTTCCATTTTTTTTTTTTTGCCCCTTGTTTTCTAATTGATTTTTTTTTATTATTTTGTATGCATGGTATTTGAAGCCTATATCAGAAAGGATCCAACCCAATCACTAGTTATAAAATTCAGAAATTTTTACAAGGTCCTGGGTAAGAGGCCGTTGCCTGGTTCCCATGCGTCTGCTCTATGCTACACTCCTCGCACTGTGCCCGAGCATCCACCCAAAAGCCTAAGCGTGGCTTCAAACTTTCACCAGCTGACTTTGAATCTTTTGGTCCTACACAATACCAATTGTCGGTTTCGTTCTGCATTGCAGTCTTGAGAAACGAACGATGACAAACTAATAGTGGCGCTGGTAATCGTAGTAGTACACAAGACACATTACTCCAAAAACTTCACCTAAGAGCTAAACAGAACACAAACTGGGGTTGAAACCTTACAAGTTACTAAATATGCACTCTTCACTTGGGCAAAATTTCCTACATAGTGATTGATTCATAAATGAACATTTCTTTACAATGCCTACCTTAACATACTCGGAGGACTAGTGTTACATGTGTTTCGAGGTGTTTCTCATGTTTTCACATGTTTCAAGAGAACCACCGACCAAAGGCTTTCTGGGTTTCTAATCCCTTGAGGCTAGAATGAAACATCCCTGCTATCATGCTTGTGTGGTTAAATGTACATGAGAATTCTCAATTCTAGCATCTCCAGCTACCTACTTACCTGAATCCAACTTCCATTCCCACTAGCAATAAAACATTACTCTCTTTACATTCTCTTTCAAGGCCGGCAGTGGTCGGACACCAGATTCTCCTGTTCGAGTTGCCTTAGCACCATGACCAGCACCACTGCCTGCTGAGCCAGTCTCCAGCATTACTGGCTCTGTGTAAAATCGAGCACGAAATGCAGCTAGGTGTGCATAGTATGCCGGAGGAACTGCAGAAAACACTAGCCACTTGAGTTGCAAGTTGTAAAACAATCTACTAGAACACCCAGCAGATAACAGGAAAAACTTAAAGATGACGAATGCACCAAGTTTCCATATTTTATTTGGTCACATTAAATGCACCAAATTAGCTATAAAAAAAAGTGTAACATTGCACATATCGTGCATGTATTGGTTTGGTGGGGAGCATATGAAAAATCATAAAACAAATATCCAAGATTGTTCCTATGTTCTATTCAGTCCAGCCAGGAACATCATTAACAAGCAGCAAACTACATAGTTCTTTTTGTTTTCTTCAAAAGAGAGAAGTTCATAAAAGCATCCAATTAGTCAAACTTATTGAGCAATTATGCCACATTTAACAATTCAATCTGCTACTAAAACGAAGCATCCACAGGTCCTTTTTTATTTTTTTCAAGAAATAGCTTAATTTATTATTTCTTACAAAAAGACTTTTGGGAGGTTAACTTCAATGGACAATGTACCAATATATTGCCCACGGTACTTACCTACTGAAACGGATCTCGTGCACCTTGCATATGTGTAACAGAGATTGTTTGTCAAGGACTGGATTCCATCAGCTGTGAAGTTGTTCTCATCCCACAAAACATGATAGTGCGCTGGCCTACTTGTCCCCTGTCACATCACATAGAAACGAGTTCATTTCAATCACAGAGACAGCAGACAGCACACAAACACAGTCGTAAACAGTCATATTCAAGATATAGAAGAAACAAGTCATCTTTAATTCACATCATCAGCATTCACAAGTGATCCTCGGCAACAAACACATATAACCACATTGGAAATTTGAAGAACAAATTAAAAGCAATCAACAAATCGCTGCTTTAAATCTCAAATTTGGCAAATAGAATCTGGCAGCATGCACTACTGCTAGGAAATTATATCTGACACAAGTCTTTGATCTGTCCATTGGTCTGATTTCAGTTTAATCCGACCTAATTTTCCATCCATTCCCATTGAGTGGCATCAAGTTAAGTTTCTTATGTTTCTGAGCTCTAACACAAAATATGTAACGACTCCATTCAACTGAGCTGCTGGTATGACAAAGATCAGTAGTTGTTGATCCAGTCTGTAATCCACCGGCACACAGTTTACCTATTGGCAAGTAGCAATAACCCTAGCTTCTCTCAAGCCCAAATAACAAGGTTCAGATTCCCAATCGAATTGAGCTTGTCATAGTTGAGTAAATCACCCAAAAGCTATCCCTGGCCATTTGCACAGTGCACGTGTACAGCAGAAGAGATGTCATTCATTCCTTGGAATAAGAACCATCTGCCCATGAACTTAGTTTTCAATCTCTGATCACCTGAGTAGGAAAAGAGCCAAGTGCAACTAGCAACACTTTCCTTTTCCCGTCTTTGACAGAGTTCATCCATCATGAATCCCCAGGCATTTAAACAATCATAAAACAGTAAGGAGGTAGATATGCTAAACATATATATATGTTATGATTTATGAACCAACAATTCCAGTTGCTTAAAAAAAATTTACATAGAAGAGAGATTCTACCTGAATACCAGCATGGCTACAGAGATAAAAGTCAAATTCCGTTGGATGACAGATTTTAGAATCAACCACAGTGCCTAAAAAACAAAAGCATCAGGAAAAACGAATTTGAATAACATAAGCTATTAAAAAAGACAAAATAAATCGACCAGTGCATCTTTGTGCACTTATATAGCCAAGATATTCTAAACTTTACCAGGCAATATGTTTCCACTCTTGTCTGTGCTACTCCTATCCCTATGGTTGTTAGCAAACAATCTAGTGTGGTGGCGTTTTTGTACCACAATGAAAGTCACTGGTGGCTGATAATTTGGCTCCAAAGAAGCGCAGGCCTGTAAAGAAATTATTTTATAGATCCAGAAATGTTCTCACTTTTGTTGAATAAGAAACGTGACCCTGATATTGAATTTCTAACCTTCCGAATTGCATCCAATTCATAAAGCAGAACTTGATAAAATTGTCCTTCACTAACACCATCCCTGCACGAGTTACATGTAGTCCACTTTAAGAATTAAAAGTACAAAAGGTCTTGATAAAATGCATGCATCGTTCATATGTTCATATAGCAGGATCCCTTAGGCAGATTTGCACAGAAACAGCCAAGCATTTCCAGGCATTTGTAAACACAAAAGTTGACCATAAGTGCAGGTGCGCTTGTAACCATGTGCAATCATCTCAACTACCCTGAATTATTAATGACTCATTATAGTGGTAGTTGGGTGCAACCCTGGTTTTAATCCAAGTGCTGATGAATATGCAGTGTCTTTTCTGAAATGATCCATACATGTTATTAGAAATTTTTTGCATATGATGATAATACTCACCTGTAAAATATGATCCTTAGAGGCTTTTGTCCTGTTGCTTTTCTGAAAGAAATCAGGAGATCTCTGCACAGGAGAATATGATATTCAAATTGCAACATTTCCAACAAATACATTAACAATATTAAGAATTCAGGCAAAAAAAATACGCCAAGGAAAGTGAAATGTCTTTACCTGATCATGCCACCACTAACAGTACCACGAACAGGATCTTGCCATGTTTTGTACAAGTCTTGTATGAGTTCCTGTCTGTGAGCTTGAGCGCAAACTAATCCAGCATATTTTGTTACTTCAGGCCAGTCCTGAGAAGCTACCACCTGCAGGAGGGCCAACATCTATCACCAACCAGATCTTAATGAATTTGAAGAGCGGGTTCAAGCAAATGGAATTTGGTTAAGAAATTCTACAGCAGCAATTGAGGGGCTTGAGTCCTCTCCATTCTCTGGGTGAGTCACATCTGCTCCAAAAATAATGGTTGGTATGTCGCTAACTAAAGGTATTCTGCAGCTGATTGCATCTAGAAGGACAGTATTTCTACCTCCCATCTGCACCAAGGACATGGAGAAAAATAAGTACTAGGACCATGAATGATTAAATAGTTAAACATTCAGGACAAAATTTCAACACTGGTCAGGAAGTGAAAAGAGCAAGTAACTTGCAACCAAAAAAATTATGTGCTGTGTGTGAAAAATCAAATAGATGCCCGTGTTCCATAGTAATTTTAGAATGTCACTGAGTACTTTGTGGTAGTTTCATAAATATACAACAGATACGAATCACTTTATAACTTTAGGAATGTCTCAGACATTTGTAGAATATTGCTATTTTCATAAATCGAGAGAGTTGATCTAACCTTTACATTGATCTTGAGGGACACATTTGCCAAGTACTGCTTACTGATCTTGAAGACATGTTTTGAGAGACAGCATTGAGATATTAAACCAAGATCAGTTTCACATATTCGCTTCAGATCACCTAAAAAGAAGTGATGTGTTACAAAATTCTATTACCAAATCATATTTTCATTGTTTTTTGTCAAATCAAGAAAAAGTAAAAACAAGAGCATACATAAAATAAATAAATAAATGAACACACAATAAGCATCCTCAGCACAGATGCCATACCATAGAGGGACCCATTGTTGTCAGGTAGAATAGCTAAGAGAAGCTCTAGCTCTTTTCCTTTGGTTCTGTTTGTCGATGCATGGCAGACGTGCTTCAAAGCTTTCTCTACATGTTCAGGCCTGGCATTGTAGATAGGGATCACAGGCTCTGAATTGAACTCCTAAAAACAGAAATAGATTACCTAATTATTGGCAAGGACAAGGAAGGACGAGTGTTAAAAAGCAGTCTGGATGATAGAAAAACTACCATTCCAGACACTTGACACATTTGGGCAAGTTCGTTGCAGAAGCCACGAGCAACACTCTCTTGCACACTCCTTGAGAAGTTAATACACGCCCACCGGCTTACAGTCATTCCATTAATCATTTTCTATACAATGTGAATCAGTAGATCAAGAGATCATTGTTATAAGGCATCAAATGAATAGGAGTCAACTCAAAGCAAAATGATACTAGAATTGTTGAAACTCTAAATTCTTCAGGAAAAAGTGACTTAAGTTCAAAATAACATAAAACACTTTCTCATTTCTAAAAATATAACTGCTCTAAAGCAGAATTTCTCCAATCACTTAACACATTCCAATATTCAGAGTCCATCTGCAGCTTACAGTGTAACATCATATTACCCCAAAACGGAACAAAAAAGAAAAAAAAAAAGTGAAGTCCATGTTTAAGGTACCAGTGCAGTACCTTGTTCATCATATTCCATTGCCCAACTTGGGGCAAGCAATCCTTTTCTTTTCCAGTTTCATGATATTTCAGCTGGAGATCAATGTGCCATGAGATTATGAACAAGTAACAATGCCAACTTTCTCTAAATCAATACAAACTAAAAACCAAAGACTTTATATTACCCAAGGAGCAGGGAGAATCCGAGCCTCAACAGAAGCTAGCTTTTCACTGATTTTGATCCCAAATTCCTTTGCATAAGGGTCTTGATCATAAGCATTATCCTGGACAGTCTGCTTGTATTTGAAAGTACAAGAGTACAGAATGTTAAAAATAAGCAAAACAAGAGAACATCAGGCAAGACATTAATGCAGTCCCATATGACACTAGACCACATGTTAATTTCTAGTGAAATTGCATGCTTCTTTATGAACAGGAGTCAAAATTATAGTTTGTGCGATTACTTTAATAAAATTATAGCGTGTGCAACTACTTTAACATGGAAATGACTACAGATATTCCATAAATGTCAGTGTTAGTCCAACTAAAACGAGAGTATTTAACATTTCTGTCAGAGACCTCATGTCTAACTCAAAGTTTAAAGTGTTAGGTGGCGCTGCAGACAGGGGATATTATTTTTAAGCTCTAAGGTTGCACAATTTCTATTTTTTCCAGTGATGGATGCATGTTGCTCAAATTCAAAAATCCACCTTGTTTAATCTACACAAACGCTACACACTTCAAAGTCGAGGGTGGTCAAAACACTAAAAATACCTGCAAAATGTCATTTTCCCGATCCCTGGGTCTTTGACATGTAACTTTTAAGAGAGCAGTAATTTGCCTCTCATTCAACCGCTTTGTATACCGCTGCCCCTCCACAATTTTGCAAGCCTAATACACCAATTTGGAATCCACAGCAACTCAACAAGAGTTAAAGAAAGACAACTGAAATCAAACATTGCACAGAAAATATGGCCTCAGCTTACCTCCATAGGCAGATAGTTTGCTTTCTTCTGGTTTCCAACCTGAAGACAAGGTAGATGTGTATGTTGAATGGTGAAGCCATACATCTCTTGAAAGTATTCAACAACTGACTTCATGGTCGAGTTATCATCAACAGGAAACCTAAACAAGAATACCTTTGACCATTAGAACACTCAGAAAGAATCACAAATATTCAGAAGTTCTTTGAATAAATCAAAATTGGAGCAAATCTTCTTTTTCTTAATCTAACAATATGCTGAATAACCTGAAATAATACCTTTTTTGCATAAAGAAAATCTTAATGGCCTGAATAATTAGATAATTTAACAGCATTAAGCAACAAAGAACTGAAACTTACACAAGTTCTCTTGTAGGCTGAGATGTCAATCCCGAGACACGATACTTTCTTCGTACACTCCCTCTGTGAGTTACTTCAACTTTTACTCCTCTGAGACCCTTTTTTATCTGTTAAAACGTTTTTAAATGGCAGCTCAAGTTAAACTAAACTACAAAAAGGTTAAAAATAAAAAAACCCACTTCACCTCTACAAGTTAGAGTACCTTCACTCGATCAGAATCAGACAATGGCCTTGATAATACATCTTTGCCTAGAAGCTGGGCAACAAACTCTATCACAGGAAGAGGCTCAATGAAGGCAGCTGAGGCCATATCTACATCGTAACACATAAAAAACAAAAAAAAACAAAAAAAACAAAAAAAAACATGAAAACAAGACCAAGAAAACATCATGCAGACTGCTAAAAAATTCTATTCAACGCACTTCAATATCTTGTAATCAATTTACCAATATTTAAGGACAGTCCCATTTGAGTCGGTCTTATACTCTGGTAAAATCCACACCAGGACTCCAAGCCATCACCAAGTCGTTGTGGCGCTCTTATATTATTAGGTGAAAAGAAGGATCTTCCAACAGGGCAATACCTTGACAGAGAAAAGACATCATGAAATAATGAGGCTCAATCCAAGAATTGCAAAAATACTTATGATAAAATTTAAAATGGCCAATAGACTCAATAAATTTTACCTCTTTGTAGAGAGCTCTCTCAGTACAATGTCAAGAATCTGTAGAGCTTCCTGCGGAGCATCAGCACGTTTTCCAGCTAAGAATTGACCCAGATGATACATATTTGCCCGTGCAACAAATTTTATCACCACTTTGTATTCTCTCTCTCTCCTGAAGAATTTTTATAGGGGTCAAATAATTACTTCATATCCACAAATAAAACAGACGAAAAATCTAGCATGCATTATAAATGTGAAAACAGGAAACTTATCTTCTTGTTTTTTTTTTTTCTAACTTAAATTTATACTTCTCACACTCAATTTTCTAAGATCCTATAAATAACAATCTTATATTGAGTCAGCAGAGAAAAACAAAATCCAGATGGCAAAAGAAAAACAAAGTAAATTACAAATGAGAGAACCAAGACAGAGATAATAAATACTTACTTGGGACCATTGATACCATCCTCTTCATCAATAAGCTTAATAGCGAACTCCTTCCAAGCAAACGGAAGCTCACCAGCTGTGTACAAGCTCTTTCTGCCATCATAAGCAGGCAGTCTCCTTCCTAAGTCAGATTCTTTGTAACGCCTCACGAGCTCTGCTAGAATAGCTCTGTTCAAAGTTCTTGATGCCACTTCAGGAATTATAGTAACCTGCAAGAATCAGAAGGAACAGGTGGTGAAAAAAGGCAACAAGCAAAAAGAACAAATTTACGGGCAGATTTAACACACTCGTAAATGTCACCAGACGTACAGAAGTAAAAACAGAACCAATTCAATTTCATCTGCAAAGCAACAGCAAAAGATAAGAAGAAACAACGGTATAAACACATCCGCTGTCAGAATTAAGGCCACACATCAGCAATGCCATAAATTTTCTTCAGCGAAGAAGTTAAAAGCTTAAATATTCTACAGCCGCCTATATTAACAGCCATGTTCAATACAATAAGAATCCGTCCAAGAGACAGAGACAAATGAGAACATAAAACAACATTTGTCTGCTCAGTGTCAGATTAAGGGTCTAAATGGTGAATACCCCAAAATCCATACGACGAGACTTGGATAAAAAAAAATACAAGGAGAAGAAGAAAATAAACAGAAGACATATTTTCCTTCATTACATTCAAATAAAGGAGCTTACATCATACTGGTTCAAGTCCTTGTCCGGTAACTCTGCAAAGAAATGGTTGGCTTTAACAATACACTTAGTCCCAACTTGACCATAACCAGGCCTAGGAGCGAAGCTCAAAGACTTGCTGGAGCTAGGGAACCCCAAACCCATATCCATTTCACAAACATTTTTACCAGTCTCAATATGCCCATTAGAAGCAGTTGCCAGGAGATCACCAGTTGGATTCACAACAGGTTTATGTGCCACAGTACAAGGTCTTGAACTAGGCCTCATACATACGTCTCCTTGATCAGACTTTCTACCGCCTCTGCCTCTCCTCCTCCCTCTATTCTTTGCAGGAGGTGAGGTCTGGTTTTGGGGTTTAGTGTTGGAACTTTCTTGGAGTGGTTGTGGTGGTCCTTTGCCATTTTGAGCAGTTTTGTGGTGTTTTTGAGGTTGGTTCATGGAGTTCTGCATGTGGGTTTTTATCACTAAGTGCTGCTCTGAGCTCTCTTTCATTTGCCTTATAGGCATTGCTGGTTTTTTCTTTCACTTTCTTCACTTCACGCACTGAAACTTTATATGAAAACACCAAGATACTGTCTTCAAAACAGTAAAGATTCACCAAAAGGCACAAATATACTTTATTTATCTTCTAGTCTTTTGCTTGTTTGCCTCACAGACTTGGACTTGAGACTTCTTCTCCTCTGCAACCAAAAAAAAATAAAGGTACAAAATCTATAAGAGAAAATGCATGTCAGCCAAGTGAAAAAAAAAAATTGCAGATACAGTAAAGAAATAGGAGTAATAATGATGATGGCGTAATTCAACATAGTTGCATACGCAAAGTAAAAGGGTATGGATAAAACGCCAGGACTTTTTAGCACTTCACAAGCATTACTATTCCTTTGCAAATTTTGAAACCAAAATATTCACCTCTGATTCAGCATATAAGCCCCATTAACAAATAAAAAGTACAAAAAACGGAAAACCCGATAACAAGAGTTACACTTCTATCTGACTAGTGAACCATTGAAGTGGAGAAGGGAAAACATGAGTGAGCACAATACATTAATGGCACAGATGCATATATATATATAGTACAGATTGTTTGTTGAAGCTTTTAATAGATTTTTTTTTTTACTTTAAAAACTATGCTTAAAATCACAAAGAAAAGTACCAAGCAAAGAAGGGAGAAAATGAAAACGCGAAATCACAAATAAAACCAACAACTAAAAATCAACTCTGCAACTCGAAAAATGATACCAGATGCAAAGACAAAACCGACCATCACCAACCAAATAACAAAAATCTTCTTATAGATGGTTCTATTTGGCAAACCCAATGGCAATGAATCAAGAGGACAAGAATAAGCAAACAAAGTAGTAGTACAAAAGAAAAGGCAAATATTTAGTAGACGAAGCCCAAGAAATAGATTAGATATACCCAGTAGACAAAATCACAACCTTAGGCCTGTTCCTTACTAAAAACTGCAAATTTATAGTAAATAAAAGATCAGATAGAAGACCAAGCAGATAAAAACACAACAAGAGCATTACAAAAAATTTTATTTTATCTAGAGAGGGATTTGAAAACCCACAAGAGTACACATGGAAGAAAACAAAAAAAAAAAAAAAAAAAAAAAAGAACAAATAGGAGGTAAGGTAAGGTATATACAACGAGAAGGAATAAACTTTGAAAAGGGCAGTGAAATCACTATCATACCCAATAAAAATTTATTGCCTTGATAAAAATGCCACTACAATAAATACCAACAACGACTCCAAAAAAAAAAAAAAAATACTCATACACAACTGTCACTTACTGGCTCAGTACAACCAAGACGCAAACCAAAACACAAGAGTTGAAGTTGCAAGTAGAGAGAGATTCTAGCTAAAAGGGAGACAAAGAACGTGAAATGATGGGTTAAAGGAGAAAGGAAAGTGAAGATAAAGATGGGTTTTTATGGAGGCCTTCAGTTTTTCTGGCTCTAGAAATAGAAGAGAGCAAGAGAGAGAATTGTAGAGAGATGATGATGATGATGATGAATCTTTATACACGCATGCAAGTGTGCTTTTGGTGTTTTCTTTATCACGTGTAAAAGGCTTTGTGAGTGAGGCCCCCTGCCATGCCATGCCTCTCCTCTCTCTCTCTCTCTCTCTCTCTCTTCCCCCCTCTCTCTCTCTCTTCTGCTGCTTTATATATTACGACTACCCTTCTTTTAGCCCCTCTCTCTCTCCTCTCTGTCTTCGGTTTCAGTTCTTGATGACTGAATTGCGCAGCCTCGGGGACGTACCATTGTCTTAAAAATACTAGTAATTTGTAATTAAAAAAATAAAAAATAATAAGCAAGTATGCAAGTGACACGCATAAGAAAAAAGAAATGTGATGGAATAGAGAGATAAGAGAAAGTGGGATTTATTATTAAAGAATAATAATATTATGGTTCTTATGTATATAGTCCAAAGGAGCAATACACAGAAGAAGAATAATTCGAACTTGCAGTCCTCACTCCTGCAGATTTCTACATATGTTAAGTAATGTCCACTGTCTTTCTTTCTTTCTTTTTCTACTGTCTTCCCTCTTTCTGTTTCTTTTTTTTTTTTCCTTTCTTAATTTATATGTTCTCTTATACTCTACTACTAATATTCTCTAGTCCCTATGTAATGCCTTCCAAAATCTTTTTTTTTTTTTTTATGTAACTAATAAACGAACAACACCCCATCCATTATCACAACCTAGCTGAACCCTTTAACGGTCGATTCAATGGGCCTTTAGACTACTCTCTTTTTAGCTCTTTATCTACATATGTGTGGCTCCCACTGCCTTTTTGTATTGATGGCCTGATGATCCAGCGGGCATCCTGCTCTGCCTTCAATTCACGGCCTCGGCCCCCACCAATTTGAGGGCTTTGATGAAGAAGAAAGCAAAGTGCTTGGTCATGATCTTTGATAGATTCATAGGTTGGTTAATGGGCAGGGTAGTACTTGATGATAGCCTTGGATTTTTGTTTAATGGGACAGACAAAAACAAAAATAAAAAATAAAAGAAAGGGGATAATAATAGAGAGTGGTGATTAATTATGTATGATGACATCCTAGACTTGGGGAGGGAAAAGGGTCCCACTTAAGACATGTTCTTGATGGCAAATCGAACTCAAGTTTGATGAAAACCATTCATTCTATTTTGGATGATTGTGATTGGGTGGTCTGGTATAGGATTATTGTTTTGTTGACCAGGTTTGAAATGCTTGTGGGTGTACTGCGGGTCTGATACAAGCAAGGATGAGCAATTTATCAAGGGGTGAACATAAATCCTAGCAAACAATTTTTAAGAAAAAAAAAAAAACAATGTTTGTATTTGTATGGTAAATGTGGTGTTTTGTTTCACAAAAATCATGAAATCTATTGGATTTGTTTCTACTACCAAATTATGCTAAGTACATGTTTGAAACTGATTTGAGTGTGCTTTAGTCCAATTGGTTGTGTAATGATTACATAGTGATAGCTAGCACCCATTTCCAATCTTTCTTTCTTTTTTTTTCTTTTTTTCAATAATGTGTTACTTAATAATCATGTTTTTAGATTAGTCGATAATAGTAATAATTTCACACCAAAACATTCATATTGTCCCATCTCTTAATAAGAGACAAATCTTAAAGATCAACTATTCATTATGCTAGTATTTTATTTTGCCTAATCTCAATAATGAAAGTTCATTGTATCGATAAAGCTTTATTCTAGAATTGACAATTTCATTCAAGATTCATATGACGTGACGTAATAGAGTAATGCATTTTCTTCCCGCATTATCTATAGGTAACTCATGATAATTAATTATCCTCTTAGTTTTGCTACATTATTTATCCATGTAGTTGGAAATGCAACTCTCTCTCTTTCTCTCTCCTCTTGTGTTTGTCGTTTCTTCAAAGATGTGATTAGTTAACTCCTAATCGGATGATCTCTATTGTTGTGAAATGTCCTTAAATCTTTTTTCGGATTGCTTTTAATAATATGATTACATATTCATTCAATCCTTCTGAGGTATAAAATAACATGATCATTTATCTCTTTATATATTTGTTTTATGTATTGTGGCTCGATACAAGCAATGGTAAACTATTCATCAAGGGGGTGAACGTAAATCCTGGCCAACAATTTTTTTTAAAAAAAATACAATGTTCGTATTTGTATCGTAAATGTAGTCTTTTGTTTCATAAAAATCATAAATCATGAAATCTATTAGATTTCTTTCTCATACCAAATTATGCTAATTACATATTTGAAATTAATTTAAGGATGTGCTTTAGTCCAATTTGTTATGTAATGATTGCATAATAATAGTTGTCAACCATTTCCAATCTTTCTTTTTTTCTTCTTTGTTTTTTTTTTCTTTTTCTAAGAGGGTGTTACTTAATAATCATGCTTTGAGATATAGTAGTAGTAATTCAATGCCAAAACATCCATGTCGTCCACCTTATATATGGGAGACAAATCTTAAATATTAGCTATTGTGCTTGTATTTTATTTTGCTTAATCTCAATAATGAGAATTCACTACATTAATAAAGCTTTAATCTCTACAATTGAAAATTCCATCCAAGATCCATGTGACGTGACGTGATAGAGTAATGTATTTTCTTCCTCTAATATCCGTTGGCAACTCGTGATAATTAATTATTCTTCCAGTTTTGTTGTCTTATTTATCCCTATAACTAAAAATGTAACTCTATCTCTTTGTTGTTTCTTCAAAGATATGATTAGTTAATTCCTAATTAGATGATCTCTCGTTATTGTGAAATGTCTTTAAATGTTTTTTCGATTGCTTTTAATAATGCGACTACGGATTCATTCAATCCTTCCGGAGATATACGTCAATGTGATCATTTATCTTTTCATATATTTATTTTATGTATGAAACGTCTTAGTCATTTAATTCAAAATGAAGTGGTTTTAGAAAATAAAACACTTATTCTTCTTAATAAAGATGGCTCTCCTATATCTCATTTATTTTTTGTAGATCACTTGATATTATATGTCGAATCCGAGACAAACTATCTTTATGTGATCGTGAATGCGTTGAACAAGTTTTGTTTCTTATATTGTTAGAAAATTAATGTGGCAAAAACTATAATATTTTGCGGTGCTAATGTTGCAAAGTACAAGACTATGATTTTTAGTGAGGATTCAAAATTTCATTTGATAGATAGTTTGGATCAATATTTAGGAGTACTTTTACATCATCATAGAGTTACTATGGCTACATATGATCACATCACCGAAAAGATTAACAAGCAATCGTTTGGATGGCAAGCAAGGTATCTCTCTTTAGCGAGAAAATATTACTCTTATCCAATCTATTTTATCAGCAATTTCTATTTATAGCATGCAAACTAATAGATTATTTATTCCCACCATTGAGACAATTGAAAAAATGTTGCCATAATTTTTTTATGGGTACCTCCGAGAAGCATCATAAAAATCATCTTGTTTTTTGAAATATTATTTGTCAACCTAAGTTTAATGGTAGTTTTGG